GACGTTTAGCACTTGTGTAGTTAACATGTTAAGTCATGACGAAGCTGTTTATGTGGTTGTAAAATTAACAATTCCGTTATCAACACAATCAATAGGTATAATTGATACAGAACTTCTCTTTTCTGTATTATATGTAGATATTATAATATTGAAGATTCCAAAAAAAGATGATGAAAAGAGTTATTTCAGGTGAATTCCTTAATCAATGGAATTTTTCAAATAGTTTAGGAGCAATTAATTGGAATTATTATTAGGAAATTATGAAACACGTGCTTATTACAATTTCTTCTTAGTATTCTATTAATGACAATTATCAAACGGAGGAGTTTTGGGTTATGCAACGTTTGGAAAAACATTATGGCATAAATTACTTCAAATCCCAAAATCGGAGACATTGCCCAATGGCGAGAAGAAAAATGGTAGCTTTCTTCTAACTTGGTTTTCTTGATAACCTAATACAGCGTCTCTCAACTGGTGGAACCCATATATCGACGTAAAATGGTGTCAGATACGCGACTGGTTGAAAAGAAAAGATAAAAAGCTATTTGGACTGGAATGGCAACAACTGGCCATTCCAGTCCAAATTTTATTTCATTAGAAAAACATAACAATTAATTGCGTCTGCAATAAAATATTATTTCTGCGAAGAACCTGGTTGAACATATGAATGACGCCGGGGTATTGCTTATCTGATCGTGAGTGAGGTTCGTGGAATTTTCGTTGTGTAAGTAAATAAGAAAATATCACCATCGAGTTAATTAAAAATGGAAGCGACATACATATCTTTAAGCTATATAACATAATATGTAACATATGGCAAAATGAGGTAATGCCAGAAAACTGGTCTTATATGCCCCATACATAAAAAGAGTGATAAATGAAATTGTAGAAACTATAAGCGGATTACTGCAAAGCACCGCCTATTAAATTTTATCCAACATCATTTTCGAAAGAATAATTGCTGAAGAAATAATAGGGGAATACCAATGCGGATTCCGGAATGGAAAATATATGACTGATCAACTGTTTGTTCTGAAACAGACTATAGAGAAATGTTATGAATATATCAAAGACCTGCATTTAATGTCCATCGACTAGACCAGACAAGCCTTCGATAGCGTAAACGGAACCAAATTACAATCAATATTGATAAAGCATGTTGTTCCAAAGAAACTTGTCAACTTGGCAATGATGACAAAGTACGAATCTAAATCAAAAGTAATAGTACAAGGTAGAAAGTCGGAACCACTTGCCATTAATAATGGTGTTCGACAAGGCGATGTAAGGTTGATAGCCTTACTATTCAATCTAGCCCTGGAATATACAATACGTGATCTAGAAAACGGAGGCAGTACATTCAATAAGGCTTATCAAGTGATTGGATACGAAGATGACATAGTAATAATAGCCTGCTCTCTACGCACCATTGCAGAAATATTCGTAAGGCTCGAACTCAAAACGAAAACAATAGGTCTAAAAATCAGTGAGAAAATAGAAGAACTCCTGAAAATTTAACTGTTGCTGAATACAACTTTGAAGGTCTGGAAAGCATTAGGTGAGCATTTTACTCAAAAATGATAATAACATACAACACTGCATACAAGACAGAATAAAAGCTGGAAATGCATGTAACACCGCTCACAATAAGCGTTTCCAATCAAAACTGCTGTCTAGAAAATTAAAACTATTACCATATAAAATGGTAATAAGACCGGTTGTCACATATGGAAACGAAATCTGGTCATCTACAAAAGATGAGAATAGCCTAAAGATATAATTTTAGATGTAAAATATAAGAACGGAACGTACTTATGTCGTACTAATGAAGAATTGAACAATTTTGTTGAAGAAGAAAAGATTTTTAGGTTTGCCAAAGCTCAAAGAATAAGATGGATGGGACTCATTTTAAGAATGAGTAAAGCCAGGAAAGCAAAGAAAGTATTTGTGAGCAAACCAGATACACCAAGAACTAGGGGAAGACCTAGAATGAGATGGATAGACGGTATGACTAACGACATAAAGAAGCTGCGAGTTCAAAATTTGAGAGTGATAATAAGAGTGGAGTGGGGCAGATTGTTAAGACGGTAAAATCTCACCAAGGTATATAGCGCCACAGGATTTGACGTAAACAGGAAAAACAGAAAGAGAGAAATGTAACGAACAAGTTCGAGAAGAAAAGATGAAGTCTTCCTTTCCAATGGCTCTGTTCTTCATTACATCTCTTTTCCTTCACTTTTTCGAAACATAGCTTCTCTCATTTGAATGACGTGTCCACACCATATCAGTTGCTTGGTTTCTATTCTCTCCGCTGTAGTATACACTCTAATTGTGCATCTTCTGATCTCTTCATTAGGGATATGGTTTAGGTACGATATTTTGTTCGCTCATCGTACTGTTAACTGGTAACTCGTTAACTCGGTAACTGTCAACACTCTGCCCATATATCATTATAGGCTCCACGATTGTTCCAAAGATGGTTCTTTTTTTATATTCTACTACTTTTTTTAAATTCTTCCTCTTTTAGACTGATATTTCTGCCATTCGTCAGATTTCGACGTCTTGTAGCTCGACTTAAAGACACTGAATCAATCGGAAACCAGCTGCACGGCTTGAATAAACCTGTCATAGGCGAACATCAAAACTGTGAGACGTAGTGCCGAGGAGAAGCAATCAAAATGTGCTACGTATTTGGCCATTTCTTGGCGGTCTCCTCAAAGAATGTTGAGTTTAGATTTGAAGTTGTTTCTGTACAAAATTCAGTGATTCAACAGTTGGTGTCAGCCGACCTCCAAACTCGTGTGACGTAGAGCCAGAGGTTGTTGCAGCTGAATAACGAAATGCCTGACTTTTTCAAGAAATTGATGATCAGCGACGAGGTACATTTCCACCTTTTTGGGCATGTAAACAAAAAATACCTGGTTTTCGGTAACCAACAATCCTTGTATTCTCCATGAGAGACCACTCCATCCACAAAAAATGGCCGTATGTTTGTTTATTCAAAACATGTAATTGGGCCATACTTTCCGACTAGATTTTACAAGTTATTAATGGTAGAACTCGAGATTCGGATCTTTAACAGAAAAATTTTTAGAACAAAAATTGTAGCAAATGTTATTCCAAACAATATTGTTCTGTTTCCATTTTTGCTCTCAAATGCATAAATATCGAAAAACATTAGATAAATTTACAAGTTGTTAATGGTAGAACTTGGGATTCATCAATATTACAGAAAAACTTTTAGAACAAATTTTATTGTGCAAATGTTATTACAAATTATGTCGTGTTCCTCAAAATCTCAATGGTGGGATTTTGAGGAACAGATTTCTAAGCAATTTCTCAATTAGGATATTTTGATTCTGATGGCCCCAGATAGTTTTCTATTGGGGCTGGTCTACGTAAATAAGCCGCAGACCCTCTAGTCTCTAAAATACCCCAAGATAGGGTGATACTTTTTGTGCCACTTTGCACCAGTAAGAAATGCGTTTACGATGATTCTAAACGTGATCAATTTCATTAAATCCCACCGCAAGAATTCTTAGCTATTCACATCATTGTGTCAAGAAATGGGCAGTTTTCACAAAACCCTTCTCATTATACTGAGGTTCGATGGTTGTCTCGGGGTAATTTCTTACACGTTAATTTGAGCTTAGACATGAAATCAGAGTGTTCTTTGAGAACTTCCATTTCAATTTGATTATCATGAATGGCATAACCAGCTAAATTTAATCATTCACGACGGCGCAGTATCTATCTACCAGTTTAAGACTACAATGTTGGATGTTATGCACTGAGAACAACCAACCTAAATCGTTTGATGTAGTCTATTTCGCCATTTTTTTCAGAATTATTAATTCATTTCAGCTTCTTTCAGAAGTTAGCACATAAAGAATTGCACTTATAATGCACAACACCACCAACAGATGTACTTTGCCCCATATTGTACTATACAAATCAAAACCTTTTTGATTCACTCAATACACAACCTTGAATATGACATTATTGTGTGTTAGTATTGACCGTTTTGGGACCGCTTATGATTATGTATACAAAACATTGTAGGTATTTTATCTTATAAAACTTGATTTATTAACAAATTCAAACATCCTCGACTATATTATTACTAAATTATACTTAAACCGAATTTTTGAAGAAGAAATGTTGGTATCGCATGCAATGAATATCTCTACTCACCAAAATTGCATGTCAAAATGCATAAAACACGAACCTTTATGTTTAGGTCCTTTGTAAAATTTTAATCACAAACGTACTACCAAACTGATCGGCTAGACAAAAGCAAACACTACCTATACATGCAATGCAGTTATATTGAAACAGACTACATAATTTTCCACGTTGTTTAATAGCTGGTAACTGGTATAGTACAAATATTGAACGTTTGCGTGGAACTCGGTTTCTCCGCTTTAAATGTTTTATTTTTTATGCACTACGCTGATCGGTAAATATTGATAAAACGTGTACATATCGGACATTTTATCAAACTAATCCTTAATTTAATTATGGTAATCGCGAATGCACCGGACAATTATACCGGGAATTATCCTTTGATGTGAATTTTGCCTCATTGAACAATATGGGCTTTGTAACTAATTGATGTACGATAATGAAATCTATTCAGATAAAGTTACGTCTTCTATATTGGTCTATGATTTAAACTTGAGTCATCACTTGATATCTTTAAATTAACTAGAACACAGTTTAAAAAAAAAAACACGATACATGGAGAAAGTTTATTCCCTCTGTGACACTTTATGTTTATCACATAGACGTAAACTTCTGAGCGATTGCAAGAGACCTGTGGGGAGAACTTCGAGACATTTCGACCAAACTTAAATCCGCTAAATCCGAAATTTACCGCTTTCGAATTTCTCATCAGCATTATTCCTTCCGGTGCTAAGGTAAAGACGACAAAACTTTTCAAACCGTTCGGAATACATTTTCGTTTTTCCTTGTATACTACGAATATTCTTTCGTGTTCCCGTTTCTTAAGTAAACAATTATTTTCCCCGTTCGTTACTGGGACGCACCGGGAAAACTAATGGGATCCAATTTCGTTTCCTACTTTCTATTCAATATCGATTTCCAATATCAAAACAATATCCGAAATAAAAATTCATTTAATTGCCTTCACCATCATGCTTTCTATTATATTATCGTCTTTGATCTTATCCTAAATAGTTACCAATTAATAAATCATTTTCTTTTATTAAATCAATTTGTCCTGTCAGCGTTGACCTCGGTTTGACCTCGCAGAGTACCCAGCTGGCCATCTTAACCTTTTTCCTTGACATCTGCAAACCGATTGTGTTGTATAAATATGCCACGAGCGCGTACATTATATATCTTCGAGCGTTACTGTGGTTGTTTGTAACGTAAAAGAGAAAGAAAACGACTCCCAGGTAGGGAACGGATCGTGAATTGTCTGGCGTATATATTAATTTCCGTATCACTCCCACGTCATGTTCCCCTTTGTTACATCACTTTAAGCTGTCATCAAACGGACGATCAAGCAGATGGTGGTAATTCAAAAATTTATAAACTTTGATTATTTATAACATCCCTTTTAAAGTGCATTAAACTAGCTTTCTCTTTTTAATGAACAAACATTTTCCGTTTATAGTTGGTCTTTATTGAATGTTGTTCTCTCGAATATAATTGACAAGAGTTATTGCCCATCTATATATAGATACATCGAGATGCAGTATAATGAGGAAGTGAACTACATTATTGATCGTTTATGTAAAATTTAAAAGCTTAAATAAAAAAAAATTAAGAAACTGATATGCACCTCTTATTTTCAACCGTGGAACTTTTTAAACGAAACACAATGGAAATTGCGCCCAACATCGGATTTCCATCTTTTTCTAAATGTCTTATCCAACATAATAAAGATTCTTTATTGGATGTTTGAGTAGCACACAAAGCCATTATAACACCATCATCTTGTTCGTGAACGCTTTTCGTTGATAACGATAAACTATTTTGTAATTTAACTTCAATATTGCTAATATCGTCCAAATAAAACGGATCTTCATCAATATTTGAGGTTGGCGATGATTTTGGATTAGCATTCAAATAAAAATAATCTACCGATTTGTTTCTTAACCACACCTTACATGGTCCCATCACGTAAATTGGTTCTGATTCATTATGATTTTGAATAAGATTCTTTTGAGTTGGCGATTGAGCACTAACAATCCAAATTTTAACATCATCTGTTGTATAAACTTTAATGATTGTTTGGACATCGACACTACTTATTCTTTTAATGGCTAATCGGGCTAAATTTAATGTATCATCAGGTACGGGGTTTGGAACATACCAAGGTGACGCATATTTAAATTTTGGCATCCAATACATCATTCTCCAATATTTTCTTAATGGAAATCCGCGATTACCAAATATATTCAATAACATTTGCTCCATTTCTACATCGGGTAAAACCCCATTATCCTCCATTTGTTCTAAAACATCAACTATACACTGCTGTTGTTTAGGGTAGTGCATAAATTCCGCTTGAAATATATTCGTAGGTATGAACTTTCCTTTAGGCATTACATCAATCAAAGCTTTATAGACGTTTAAATCTTTACTGACCCCATACTCATCCATGTGTTTTAAAGCGGAATAAATAAACTCGACGTGTCCTCTTCTATAAACATGATTTCGATCGGTGTAAATATTTATCATTTCCAAATAGGTATTTTTTGACTTTTCTTTATTAATATTAAAGTTAATCGTGGGTGGCAATTTTTCCTGTAACTCGTACGTGGTTAAGTGAAATTGATTTATAAGTACTAATCGAATTGTTTGTAACGCAGAAGTCGTTCTGTAGCGGTTGATCTTTGCGAACATTCGCCTGATGGACAATAATATATTTATAATCTGAAAAGTGACGGCCAGATTCAGTGCCTTGGATACGTGATACCACAGGGCAGCCTCGCATGTAGCCAAGCAGTAACCGCGTTTATTGCGTGACTGGTTACTATTGATCATTTTACGCTTGACGACCGACCGAACGGCCCGTGTAACTGAAAACGAGACCGGCAAATCTTAAGATTTCACAAGAATATTATATACGAGTATGTTGATTGGTCAGGAGCAATATTACCGTCAGTTCAATTATTTTGATTGAATTTATTGATGGTTTCACTTCGAACCGCGTAAAGCGATCTTGTAGAAAGCGAAGCTGAAAGATTTTATTGTTTGTTTATTTGTGTTTTCTTTCACGAATCCGAAAACGTTAAAACGATTATTGTTCTTTCTACAGCCAACACTTATTAAAACTCCAACGAAAGCTTGTTTATACAATTTCTGTCGTGTTTACCGTTTTTCGTTTGCTCGAACTAATGCTTCATTAATTTAAATCTAACACTGTTCCGCGGACGCACCGTTTGTTTGCTTCGTGAGCTTTGATCTAAGCCTTCCTAGTCCCCGTACCACTTCATACATAAATACATTTTCACATAAATTATTCAAACGCAAACATCCGACAGTGTACAGTCGAATCAAGTACCATCCATTATAAGTTTCTACTTAATTAATATCTATAAAGATAATTATTTACCAAATCATTTTCTCTAATGATTCCTAAATTTGCATCTCTTGCAACTGATGTTTCAAATTTGATGGATTACTTTAATAAATTGGTTGTAGTAATATAAATTGGTAATAAGTGATAATACGTGTCTACTTAGTTTTGTTAATTTACTCGTATCCTTGGAGATTCGACTCAACTCAACTTGTTAATCAACGATAATTACATTTAGTTCGATAAGTTAGATCGACATCGCTGCATGTTTGTATAATTAGTTTTCTTTTTTTGTGTACTTTTTTAATGATATATAATAAGATATATGCTAATGAGATAATAAAGTTTAAGATGAGTTGAGTCACAATATGTCATTGTACAATACATATTATATGAAAGTTACGAAAACAAGATATGATATGAGCAAGATGATGCAATGATGTAATAAAGTAAAGAATAAAGAAGATATAAGACGCTATAATTAAGCTATATTAATGATATATATTTAAGAATAACATAGACTCAAAAATAATATCATCCTCGGCTTTAATTAAACTGGGAGATGTATAATTTTATGAGATAAAGCTGAGGTAGCTTGCGGTCCAGGCATTACATACTCAAAATCATAAAAGATACATTTACAAATGAATGATGCGGTGAATACTTAGCCGAGGTCGCTTGCGGGTGAGGCGCTACATTGTCAAGGTCATTGCGGATATATTCACAAATTAATGATTTTATGAAAACTTAGACAAGGTCGCGGGCGAGGTATTATATTTTCAAAATCATTAAAGATACATTCACAAATCAATACCCTAATAAATACTGATCATCACATTCAAACAATCCTACCATTTACTTTATAGTCAGTGTTGATTAGCGGCCCTGTATGTATGTGTCTTTGACCACAGCCACGAAGCAAAACGAGATTGAACCCAAGAGCTTTTGATCCATCTTCCTCAAATTGCAGAATGTTTTTACATTCATGATAAATAGCGATATTAGCTAAAGTACTGAACTCGGTAAAAAATTCTATCAAACGATATGTGTGATCATTATTCCATACAATAATGTCATTATTAACGTTATTATTTCTTCAATGAGAAGCTGGTTATCTTGAAAATAGTGTTTTCGCGGCTTGGACGCTTTAGCACTTTTTGGATACAAAGAAATTTTGAATAATAAGAGTTATAACTCTTTAAGTTTGTGTCAAAGTTACCTACCCAAAGCAAAGTCAACGAATTTCAGTGCGCCCAACCTTTAATTGCGCTTACTTAAATTTCTTCACCATGACATTCATTCAACACTCGGCTTGCATACTCAAAATCGAGGTCGCTTGCGTGCGAGGCGCTACATTGTCAAGGTCGCGGGCGAGGTATTACATTTTCAAAATCATTAAAGATACATTCAATTATCAATGCCGTATTAAATACCGATCACCATATTCAAACAATCCTACCATTTACTTTATAGTTAGTATTGATTAGCGGCCCTGAATGTATGCCTCTTTGACCACAGCGACGAAGCAAAACGAGTTTGAACCCAACACCTTTTGATCCATCTTCCTCAAATTACATAATGTCTTTGCATTAATAATAAATAACGATATTAGCTAAAGTACTGAACTCGGTGAAAAATTCTATCAAACGATATGCGTGCTCGTTATTCCATACAATAATGTCATTATTAACGTTATTATTTCCTCATTGAGAAATTGATAACCTTGAAAACAGTGTTTTAGCGGCCTGGAAGCTTTAACACTTTTTGGATACGAAGAAATTTTGAATAATAAGAGTTCCCAAAGCAAAGGCAATGAATTTCAGTGCGCCCAACCTTTAATTACGCTTACTTCAATTTCTTCACCACGATGTTCATTCAACACTCGGGTGGGCCACTGTAATGTTTTGGTTAGTCAGCCATATTTTCCTAATCTATACCGATCCTGATGGTTACATATCGGCCAAAAGGGCACTATTATCGACTTATTTAAACAGGCCTTACAAAAAGGAAATTCATAAATCAATAATCAGCTTCCAATTGCTACGTCACAATCTTTTAGGGTGGCTTCGCTTTATGGAGAAGAGTCTGCAAATTATTCTGCATTATTTGTTTTTCTGGACAATTTTGAATGCAAGCAGGCTATATTATAAGGTAGTGCAGCAATTTTTTTCTGCTTGGATATACTTTTCCAGAATTTTCTCAGGCAATAGCCTACGTTACCTAATCTTAATCATGTTAATCAGTCGCTGCACATGTCTAAATATAATGTCGTGAAAATTTTTGCCAGAATTGGTAATCGTAGTAATAACACAGAAAACTAATTATCCTTATATTTAGATGGCAATATATGCACTATTCGAGATATCTGGAAATTTATATTCACAAGGTGACATAGCATGGTAGCGAGATCCCTAATAAGGCATAAATAGAAAGATTAAAGATGAGGTAGAACGATTTGGTTCACAAGAAATATGTAGCAATATTGAGGGCAGTAAACAAGACCTCAAAACTGAAAAATAGAACTATTGAGTTATAGCAGGAAGAAGGGAGAGGTTCTTATATGACCCAAGCATTGGCAAACCACGATATATTTGGAAGTTACCTACTAAAGACAGAAAGTTGTGGCAGAACAGAGGATGACCATAACCAAGTGGAGATCAGAACTCTCAGAATTGTAACGAAAATTGTATATAATATTAAAACATTGTAGATTTAATAGACGAAATCAATATAACATCATTTCTTGTAACCAAATTATTATTATTAGTTCATATTTCCATATTTGAGTAAAAAGTCAAATTACCGAGATTATTATCAACCTAAAAACCAAAATACATGTATCAACATCAATTTCTAATAATCACCGTTGGCAATTCGTTATTTACCTTGCAACAAGATTGATCGTTTATTTTAAAAGATTAAAATTGAGTTAATCTAGATAAGTTTAGATCCTTGGAGAGTTAGATAATTTTGTTTATTCCGTTATCCGATAAATACTTAACTAAGGAAGTTCCAATAACGTGTGTATCTCAGATAAAGTCTGTGATGTAAAAGTTACTTCAATCGAAAAGGTCCAAAGGCGATGGAACATCAAAGGAACCTTGTTCTGAATACTAATGGCGAACCACTAAACGTCTTCTGTCTGTCCGTGGAGTGACATTAAACTCTTTAATAGTTGCGAAGTTCTCTTTGGAACATTTCGTTCGTAAATTTCAAATGTTGGGGGTTAATAATTTTGTTGGTTCGTTAAAAAAGAAATACTTTACATAAACATTATCGGGTTTGCACGTACGCTCTTAGTTTTAGCACGTGATAACTACCCGTTGAAGATGGCAAGGAAACGATAAAAACCGACGTCGACGGCGCCACCGACGCCGTGCTCCGGCTACCAATCATCATCGTGCGGTATAATTGCACGTAACGCAAATAGAAACGTGATGGTCCGACCAAGATACTCGTAAATAGCACTAGGTGGACGGTTCTTCTTGATTTGTGACATTCGGTTGAGTTACGATCGCCGACCGAGCAAGCGAGCTTTTACGTAGACCTGTACAAACGACCTGGAAAGGTAATAATTTCTCGTCCGACCAGAAAGAGAAAACCCGATGAAAGATGAAGAGGAACGGTAGCCATCTAATTGGCCATTAATACAACGTATAATTGAATCTTTTGTCATAACGAAATGTTTTCATTTTTATACCTTTTTATCAATTTATCGTGTAGAGTTTAATGATTTAGCTACACACATTAAATTCTCTTAACTTCAGACTCAATTGTACGAAAGCGGTCCACGTATTCACCCCTGTATTTATAAATCCCAGGGCATCCGGCCGAAACATTATGAAATCATAACTCGCACCAGGTCGAGCAATTTGAAACGTGGTGAAAATGCTAAATGTACTGTGCATAAATCGCAAATGCGGTCGAAAAGGTTCACCTTCCATTAACAATTCAGAGTAGCGCAATCCTCGGATTGCTCCTTCTTCTGTACAAATAGCTTTCCTCGGGCTAAATCACGATACTCTCGTATTTAACTATTTAAAGTATGCGTTCGACAGGGAACGCGTTATTGTTTAATATGCGTGCTCGCCCAGTTATTTCCTCTGCTTCGAACCGTGTAATTTAAGTTGTTAGGCTTTAATTGGTTAATGCAACAAATAAATACATTTTTTTAAGTATAGCTCAATACGATGTACTTACATTACAACGACACTAGTTTGACAAAACATATCAACACCTTTTCTTAGAAATTTCTTGCTTAATTAATTCAGATGATTATCTAATCAATATCTCGCGACTGCTGTTTGTCGCAACCGCACCTGTTCCC